ATTTCCATTAGTAAACCATCATCATAGTTTGAAAAGCAAGTGAAAAGCTATTGAAGGATACAGTATTTTAGTCTCAGAAAAGCATCAAGTTGCGGACTTAGAGGAGAAGCTAATCATATAATTCTTACAAAATCACATTGAATAAAGATGGGGTTGAGTTGATCAATTAATTATCACCCTACACTTTGGCTCCTTCCATGGCCATTGACCCCTCTTTTGCCTTCACACCTACCGGCTGCCGCCCCTTTCACATTCTTTCTATCTTAGCTTTGGAAAAATGACACCCAAAGACTATCGTGGAAAGCAAAATACATTGAAGTATATGAAACTTTTTAAAATATAATAGAGGATCTAGGACCATGGAAGATTGTATTTTCAAGAATTTCAAGCCCTCTGCCGTGTTTTGCTCTCATCCGAAAAAGATCTCTCTTTCGTTGCATTTTCAAAATATTCAGGTCCTTCAGTGTATTTTACTTTCCCCTGTATATCGTCCTTGGACGTCACATTCTCCCCCTAATCTATCTCTCTAAACATGTATAGTCATAATTAATTATAAAAAAATTAATTGATATGATTTATTTTGATTATGATTGATTATGTTATGACTATATTATATTTAAATATTATTTTTTAAATTAATTTTGATAGAATTGAAAAGGTCTAGATATTTTTAGTAAAAATTAATTTTAAATATATAAATTACAATTAAGGACATTGGCTTTAACATATATAAATACACATTGTTTGATTAATAATAAAAATTTAAATTATGTTATCTTTTAATATAACTTATACTAATATTAATAAAATATTATAATATTAATATTATACTATGTTGTAATAAAAAATATATATTATATTATTCCCCTGGGGTCATGGATGTCACACCAGATTACTAGAAAGCAGTCACCCAAAGAGGAGCACTGAATCAAACTGGAAAAGGCTAAAGGAAAATGCAAGAAAGGCACAGTATGAGGAGAGGATGTCGCACCAGATGGACTTGGATGGAGAAAATAGCAAAGTATGACCTTCAAGGAAGGAAACAGAGGAGACGCACCGATGAACTCGAACGATAGTTGCAGGTCAGAGATGGAGGATGGAGATCGTAGATCGAAGTGGGAGATGAGGTTGCAGCAAAAAAGATATAGAGATGGCGTCAAAGAGTTTTCACTTTTTGGCGAGGATAAAGAGAAGTGATGGAGGTATCCTAGCCTTATTTAGTAGATTAAAAATTCTAGCAGGCAATAATTGCCCCAACAGATAAAATCGATCATTGGAAGCTACTCTTTTGAGCTTGAGGCCAAACGTGGTTATGGTCAAAATAATAAATTGTGTGAAAATGAGATGCTTGGGTAATTTTCAGTAAAACCATGGTTTTAGTACACTTAATCGATTTTGAACCGTATCCAAACAGGCACTAATGCGGCCTGTAAAATGTAATGTTGACCTTCTGCTTTCGTTTCAAGGCTTCTTCTCCACAAATAAAATCACAATTATACTGATCATATTATTTAAAGCAGGTGAGGAATATACAAACAAACTAATATATATAGTTGGCAACTAAGCGTTGACAGACTGACACATTTATTATTAAACTGGAAAATTAAATGTGAATCAAAACAAACATCCTTAGAGATTAGGGAATTAGTAACAAATGATTTTCTAGAGAACAGCTCCGGACTGGTTTTTGGCAAATCTTTATTACGGCCATAATGGCGTAATGATAGAGCACAATGGCGTCTTGCAATCCATGTAGCCGACCCCACATAGTGGGATAAAGGCTTGTTGTTGTTGTTGTTGTTTTTATTACGGCCATGCACTTTTTTGTCAACAGAAGTTGAAAATTACAAGTTCCTTGTTTATCTCCACCAGCGATTTATTTAGTTATTTGTTTTGCTTAGGATCTTTCCACTGACAATTTCAAGTGTTAAAAGGGCCGTCTCATGGGAAAATTGCAACGAGTTTCGAAAAGACTACCATTTTCATAAGCAGCATTTTCTCACGTATATTTTCCCACTCATGTAAGGCTTGTATGCTGCATTTTTGGGTTGAAGCTCTTTTTTTTTCTCTCTTTCTTCTGTTTCCTTCCCTACCAATTTGAGTTTCTGACGTTTCAATTGAGTGCATGACGCACCAACCAAATCGCCAGAAGTCACATTGGCGGGGTTGAAGCTCTCTTGATTCATTTGTAGATAGGTTAAATGTCTTTGGACCTTCCCAAATGAAACTTGGCCCAACTCATGTGCCCTTAGAAATCTAATTGTCTTCCCTCGTTTTTTTTCTTTTCCTCTTTAAGATTCAATTCCCACCTTATCTTCCTTCAATCTCATCCTTTTAGGACCAGCCATATCCTTCTTCCTACATTCTTTTTGACAGGCTTAGTAGGGTGGCTCATAGGTGGAATGTTTCTGGGTTCAAAAGCTTTCATTATGCCATCAACTACATCACGTTCAAGAAAGGCAAGGATGTTGAATCGTGATTTTGATGTGATATTCTATCATCAGATTTGACGCAAATCTCTGTTGTTCATTTGATTTCTTGAATTTTGAGCATTTTTTAAGTGTTGGAATTTCATCCATTCATTTCATATCTCTTCTAGCAAGCCACTTGGCCATTTTCCAATGAGTCCACTGTATGTTGATTTTTTGTTTTCCATTTTCTTTCTTTTTTTGTGGCTAAAAAATGGTCGAGAGGCTGATTCTGATTATTTCCTCTGTCTTCTACCTTCTCCATGCATCTATTTTTGGGGTTTTGGGGGTATTATTTCTTTGATGGCCATAGCATCTACATTCAAAATAAATAAGGTTAAGATTTTCATATTCCATATTATAGAGCTCATCTTTAATGAGTATTTTAGGAATGAGTTTCTTTTATAAATTGAGTTCAATGCTGATTCTCCCAAATTTATCTCTTTCAGTTTTGCCATGCTCATCCTTAGAGTTTGATTCTAACAGAGAGTTGACATCCATTTTTAAAGTTTTTCCTATGCAATTACCTATTCTCTAGAGGATCTCTTTGTCATAATATTGAATTGGAACGTTTGCAAGTTTGACCTATAGAGCAATTTTGCCCAGCTTGTTAGAGTTAGGGTTGAAACTAGGAGACCTGCATTGAACAAGGATACAGTAGTCAAAAGTTATCTAAGGACCACTATTGAGGATGTTGTCATAGGCAGATTGATTATTGGTTCTGACTGCATAGTAACTATTGACGAGAATAATTAATTCAAAATCTTTGAGCTGCCACATCTTTGCTAACCTTGGCTTAAGGGATTTAGGATTTAGTTGCAAGCCTAGTGTGTTAATAACTATAGCACCCATCTAAGTTTGGCAATTTTTTCCATTCGTCATTAAAAGTTTGAATTGATAGGTATAGATCCATCAGTTTCTTGGTTCTTTTTGAAGGTGTCTACTCTTGTTCCAGTTCCTTAGCAAGTGTTTCATTTAAATGCTAGGCATCACTTTCTGTGTTGATTTCATAACATCTATTGTATTCAGTCATTGATTGTTTATAAGAAATAAGTGCTCTAACTTTTTGAATCACTATTGCTTTAACTAGGCATGCATTGACTTGGAGAGCATTAGTGGTTTATGTATCCATTGGTTTCCTAAGTTGATCATGGCCTTGCTTTTCATTTGGTGCTACTCTATTTTGTTGATATTGCACTTCTTGTTGTAGATGTAAATTTGAACCTTTGTTAATCATTTCTTCATCTGGCTTTGAAATATTCCTGTTGATTAAGTCGAGCTCTTCTTTGGTTGTAGGGGGATTCATGTTTTCTTCATGTGAAGTGGAGGTCGAGGAGATGAAATTAGTATCAAGCTTAAACTACAAATTCACGAGAAAGATCAAGAAGAAGATGGTGAAGGAGCAGGTGGAAAGAAGATAGATCTTCTCTTTAGAAATTTAGAGAAAAGGCGGAGCTTCTCACGCTAATACAAACTTTCCTCTACTTTTCACACATATATTGCTTTATATACACATACCAATGTTATTAAAGTTTTATGAGAGAATCACATTCAAGCACCATTTAAGTAAATTATTTATAAAAAAGAATTAATAATGGGTTTCATTCAAAGAAAAAATAATTCAATATTTTCATTTTAACACTAATATATTTCATATTGATTCTTGTCTGTCAATAATTCATTCAAGTTATTATTGAATGTGATTTTTGTAACAGCCCTCTACTCACCTCGCCCACCCGAGGTCTTTTGCGGCACTGGACACTCTCCCCTCAGGCCCCACAACAAGGCAATCCCACCCCTTACGGTGAGCATTAGGAGACAAAGACTTCCCTGCAGTAGTGTGCAGGATTATTCCCCTTGCGGAGAGCCTCCCCAGGTTCAATCCTCCAACCTCTCCTACATAACAAAGTTGAGGCTGAACCTAATACCATTGAGGCATAACAAAGGTGGGCGGGGTTAGCGAAGGGCTGTTACAATTTTCCTAAGTTTCATCTTCCTAAGTTTCATCGAAGCTTATTTTTGGAATTTTCATCAATCTTTAAGATCTATACAGAGGCAGCACGTGCACCAAAATTAATGGGTTCATATTGCAGGACAAAGGAAACAATATTCATTGTCATGGCTCCTAACTAGAGATAGGAATACAGGCAAGGAAAAATTCTTAAGTAAGCTGGGTGCACCATGTCTTTGTAGTCTGTCTAATAAAAACATAATATTTAAATGATATTAAATATAAATTAATTTTGATATTAATAGTGGTGAAGAGATAAAAGGTAAAAAATCAAACATCTGTTCTGTTATAATAATAAAATCAATTAAAAAATATCTCACAAGATTTAATTTACTTAAAGTACTTTAATTAGATAAATCATAAATAATGTAATGCACCCAATCTATCTAAATATTTTTTTATAGGCAGCTGTATTCTCAAATTATCGATTCATTGTTTATTCAAATGAAATAACCAAACCATAAATTAATAAATGTTACCAATGGAGGGACAGCATTTGCATGTTTGGGCCAACACTTGAGTAGGATCAAAGATAAATTTATTGTATTATTATCTTATATATGTATAAGGCACCGGGCATCCAGATGATTAGACAAGGCGCCTCCATTTCTATTGGCCAATAATTACTCCATCAACAAATGCAAGTCCAACACAAGGAGGATCTGAGATTGAGTAAATTATTTGACTTCAGTAGTTATGGTTTTACCTTAAATAAAAATAAGAAATTGGAGAATAATGCACAAACAGGGGGTAAAAATTCATACATAAAGCAATCTATACCCAATGGAAGACAGCCTATCATCATCTTTTTCCACTATGCAATCAGAAACGCGTTCTTTTTTCTTCGTGTCCTGCCCAAGAGCCCTTTACAGCTGGATCCCCCATTTCTTTCCTCATCTAAAAGATCAAATGAATACGAGTATCAGATTTTCCTTTTCCCCTCGGCTTTCTCCTCGCCGGGGAATTCCGAATCAATTGTACGTGCAAGATTTCTTCAGAGAAATTGTGGCGTTGATATGTTTAGGATTCAGAGTTACAGAGCAGTCGATCCTCTTGTTAAATTTCGGCTTCACCAACTTGCCAAGGACGTAAGCTCTGGATCGAAGCTCAAACCTTAACTTCAACTGTACCGGAACCGTAGGCGCTCCGGTTGAGCTACTCAGGCCCGCACCACTCCCGTACAGAGCAATCTTGTTACCCATCACCGCCACACTCACTGTTCTTTGACTCTTTCTTGATTGATGAAATTTCTTCAACTGTAATCCCCCAGTTCATTAGTATGCATATTCAATAAGAAATTGGAACTATATCTCAAATTTTGAGTTAATGAATGGGATAATGGGTTTCGTAGCTTACTTCTCCGGAACCAATTATGATTTCCGAATAGAGTAGATCCAGAGGTGTTGCGGAAACATGGACCCCAAAAAATGTGCCCGTGTTGCGATACGTGAATTTCACGGTGGAATTCAGGGATATCATATCGGTGGCCACTCCTGTGGAATCCGAACCGGCCTGAACCGTGAGATGATCAATTTTTATGCTCTGCAAGACAGGAATGCGAATCGATCAAAAACCAAACCGGGCATTGACAAAACTATTCAATATTCCGGGAATCAAGGATGGGAAAGCAAACCTTCATGGTAATTTTGGGCTTCATAGGCTTGCTGGCGCCCCAGAGAATCAAAGAGAAAACAGTGAAGAGAAGAATGAAGCCAAGAACAAAAGCGAGGACATAGCAGCGACGAGGGAGAGGCTTGTGGCGGTTTTCATTGGGAAGAAGACCCTCCTCCTCAATGACATCGGGTTGCTTCCATGGCTTCTGAGACTTGCCATGGGGAGCACGAGACGCATCGTTGGGAGATATTTTGCGAGATCCAGAGAACCTGCTAGAGGAAGATTCGCGAGAGTGGTGACCCAGGGAGGCGTGGGAGTGAGGGGGAGACCCCGTGGGGCTGAGCACAGGGGTGGAGTGAAACGACGTCGCCGTCTTCTCTCCATCGTGGGAATCCCTGGAAGGGCTCTGCACGTAGTACACCGGCCGCCGTGGAGATCTGGTCGGAGACGAAGCGGCGAGGCTCGTCGCTTCAGAATCCGTCTTGGCGTGCATTCTGTTGTCTCTGCAAACCCCAGCTCACAAGAGAAGTTTATTTTTTGAGCTTTGTTCAGGTCATTTCCAGAATGAAGAATAAAAGGAAAGTGAGGGTGAGCTGGCCGAAGGAGGCGGCTTGGCAGGGAAATTAAGAAAATGAATTAGTGGGGCAGTCCAATTGTTTATAACAATTTCAAAATGCTTTTACTTTACTAAACCACCAAGAAATGAGATGAATAGACGAGCTCAAAGCTCAAAGGAACAGTACCCGCGTCACATGGGAGTGAGGCCAAAGGCAAAAGCGCAGCAATGAATAAACCCTAATCTAATGATTGACCCGACAACCATGTTCCAGTTGTCGCTTCACGCGAATCTACCGACGATGCTGACCTGGTGTGGTGTGCGTATCGCGACGTTCCTCGTTCCCTGCTCCTAAAGGCCTAAATCATTATTGTAAGCTGTAAGCATGATTTCAAGATCATAATATTCCGGCCCTTCTAAATTGACAATTTTTTAGCTGGGGACGACAAATTGCAAACTTGCTCGTTTCTAGCCAAAATAACAATTCTTATTCTATTCTTTCATAAATTGTCAACAACCAACATATGTTGTCTTACCCGTTAAAACTAACTTCACAAAAATGTTATTTGTAGCTTTCTTTATCAGAAATTTAAGAGAGAGAGAGGTAGTTTTTGCTGTTCTACCAACAAAAAATTTATTATTTTTGTCAAGTTAATAACGTTATTATTAAAATTTAACAATCATTTTCTCTTATGATAAGTTCATTTACTGTTCTACCAACAAAAAAGTTCAATTACTGCAAGTTCAAAGGAACGATACTACAGTTCAAAGAAAAATGTGTCGGCGCCTTATGATCAACGCTGGCGTTATGAAAGGGGAAATCTTTGATTAAATAAAGTTAGGCTTAAAATAAGATATCACTCACTCAACAAATTAAGGTATGTTTCTCGGGTTCACGCCTACTACTACTACAACTATTAATATAATGATATAATTGATAACAAAATAACAAAGATAGTTATTGAATGCTTCTTAGTTTGTGTGATTTTTGGTCAAAATTGCAGCGTTTGGGATAGGTATGATCCCAATCATTTCCCGGATTGTGATGCAATCATGCATTTCAGTCCAAATTAACCAACCCCTTCCATTCATTTAAATTATTTTTTAAATATTTTTAACAATATATTTAGTAATATAATTTTTTTTAATAAATTCATTCATTACCTATCTGGTCAGCATAGATTTAATATAACAGTTCAATTTAATATTAAAAAATTAGCTAAAGTATATATTTATGCCTTTAATTGTACACAAGATTTCATTTTAATTATTTAATTTTATAAAGTATATTTTTAGTTCTAGAATTCTAATATCATTAGTTTCATCCCAATAAATTTTTATAATAAGCTTTGATAAAACATCATTAATTGTTGACATATTAAATTTAATTTAAAAAAAACAATAATAATTGATATAAAAAATAATCTTTTAAAATTAATGGCATTAAGGTTAGTGGACTAAAAAATATTTTATAAAATTAAAAGATTAAATTAAAACCTTATATAAAGTTAGAAAATTAAAAGTATATTTCAACTTGAAAATTTTTATAATTTTATAATTTGATTATTCAAATAGATTCTAGACAATTCAGAGATAATCTATATGACATAATTTAATATTAAAAAATTTATAAATTTTATAAATTAATCATTTAAATATACTTTAAATAATCCAGATTTAATATTAAATTTTTTTTATTTTTTATTTTAATAAATATAATATTAAAAATATTTAAAAATTAATTTAAATAGACAGTATAGATTATTTTAGATTGAAATGGGGGGTCAAAATTCTTCCTGATTCTGTTGACAATGCTGAGCATGGAATGTTGCGAGTTTAATGAAGATGAACCCAATCACATTTGCAATAGCATCTTGTTCACTGTTCAGTGTCTTTTGATCTTGTTTGGGACAAGCGTTTCGCATCAAGCAATCATTTCTTGCCCTTCCTTGGCTTGACAAAAGAAAAAAGGTTTGATTCATAGTGTCGTCTCAAGAAAAAATAATGAAACTCAACACGACTGAGCTCAAAATTATATGATTTAATATAACATGTAAGATAATCAAAACTTAAAATAACGTTTGATTTATCTGATGGATTGAAAATGGGAATAAAGATGAGAACTAAATTAAAACAAATATGGCAAGATGATGTTTGGTATGCATGAAATTGGGGGGAAAAAGGATTTAAACCCCATGAAATTGGAATTGGTGAATTTTTTTGACGTTTTACTTAAAAAAATAAAAGAGAAAAGATTTTATATTTTATAAAAAATAAAAATGAGAAAAAATATTTAAAAAATTTGCCTAAATTCACCAAACACAACTTCAAATAATTTAAATCAAGAAATAAAATAGTTTACAATAAAAAATCAAAAAATAATTTAAGGATAATTTTGGCTTTTCATACTCCACCGCATCACAGTGGAATCTTGTACCAAAATTTTTTTATGAGAATCATAATTTATAAAATTGACTTTCATAGCGCCAATTATCAAGCAACTCCATCCCTCTCATTCCCTTTTCTTTTCTCACTGCTCCTCTCTATGAAACAAGGCTTTAATTGGGAGATTCCTCAATTTTTCCATCAGCGCACCACCGCACAACGATCTCATTCTCATTTATTGATACAGTAATGCCTAATCAACTGGAACAAATAAACTTGTTGAGAAAGGACGTTCTTTTTTGTTTTTGGCTGAAAGAACGTTGTTTGAATGGTTTATGGTCTAACATCAACGAGCTAGGGGATTCTAGTTAACGAGAATCTCAACTATGGTTTTCAGAAGCAAATTAATTACATGCTAGACCTAAAATTTTTTGAAATACTTCGGTAGACCTAATGGCTTCAATTGCAATTAATTTTTTTGGCCTATTTATCAAAATGTCATTGCCTTTTTCTTTTTCCTTTTAGGGTGTCCTATCATAGGCAAATGGAGCTTCGGCATTGGCTATCATTACCAATGCTAGACTATCACCATTGGCCATCGAAGCTACAATGTCAATGTAATGGTCAATGATCAGTTAAATGTGCCTAGAGGTTAAAGTTGACCCAGCTTGGTTCTCCAAAACGTAATTAACCATTGAACCAACAAATACTTCGATATATATAGTGCAAAATTACATGTGTGTGCATTAGAACTTTGATTTTTAAGTATTTTTATATGATACTACATATTCTAAATATCTTATTGCGTATATTTGAACAGCCACTTATAAATCTTTAAACATTACTTGTTCATACATTAAAAAGGTTATCAATTTTTAGAAACCCAATTTATTTTAGAAAGAATTACATTGAAATTCTACACAAAAAAATTAATTACTACAAAATTTATTGACAACTAAATTAAACATCATTGATAACACAATTAATTGTTAACGGACTTTATTGTAATTAATTTTTTTATGTGAGACCTGGTTGTAATTCTCTCTTTATTCTATTGTTCTACAACTTGTTCATTCAATATTAACAAGTTATTAATATTATACTAAATAAATAAATATATAAATATGATATCAATTTATTTCCCAAACATTTTCACGGGTTTTTGTTGGTTATGGATATCTTGTTGTGTATATCTTAATAATGACTTATAAATATTCAAACATCACTTGTTCATGCATTAAAAAATTATTAATTTTTTAAAACCCAATTTATCCCATTTTCACAACTTGTTCCTTCAATGTTAATAAGTTATCAATATTATACTAAATAAAAAATATCTGTTATAAATTTATTTTTCAAGCATTTTTATGAGTTTTTATTAATCATGAACATCTTATTGTATATATCTAAACAATCACTGATAAATATTTGAACAACACTTATTCATACATAAAAAAAGTTATCAATTTTTTAAATTTTAATTTATTTTATTTTTCACAACTTGTTCATTTAATGTTAACAAGTTATCATATTATGCTAAATAAAAAAATATATGTTATAAATTTATTTTCCAATCACTTTTATGAGCTTTTGTTAATCATAAATATTTTATTGTGTATATCTAAATAATCACTTATAAATATTCAAACATTATTTATTCATACATGAAAAAGTTATTAATTTTTTAAAACACAATTTATTATATTTTTCACAAACAAGTTATCAATATTATACTAAATAATATATATGTTATACATTTATTTTTCAAGTATTTGGGTTTTAAAAAATTAACAACTTTTCTCTGTGTGAACAAATAATGTTTAAATATTTACAAGTAATTGTTCAGATATACATAATAAGATATCCATGATTAACAAAATCCCATTAAAACACTTGAAAATAAATTTATAGCACACATATTTTTTTATTTAGTATGAAATTAATAATTTGTTAACATTGAAGGAATAAGTTGTAAAAAATAGAATAAATTTGGTTTTAAAAATTTGAAAGAACAAGTATTTAAATATTTATAAGTGATTATTTAGACATATACAACATGATATCCAAGATTAACATAAAACTGTGAAAATGCTTGCAAAATAGGTTTATAATATATATATTTTTATTTAACATAACATTGATAATTTGTATCCATTGAAGGAATAAGTTGTGAAAAATAGAATAAATTAATTTTTAAAAAATTGGCAACTTTGTTTATGTATGAACAATTAATGTTTGAATTTTTACAAATATTTTTTCATATATGTATACAATAAAATGTCCATGATTAACAAAAGTCTGTGAAAATGTTTGAAAAATAAATTTATAATATATATATTTTATTTAGTATAATATTAATAATTTATAAAATTCGAAATGAGCACATACGTGAAAAAGTGAGGGTGGCACCTATTGAGAAAAAAATGGTAGAAAATCGGTTGAGATGGTTTGGGCATGTACAAAGAAGACCAAGGGAGGCACCAGTGAGAAGAGTGGAACATATAACTTTGAGTCCGATTAAGAGAGGTAGAGGAAGGCCTAAGAGAACACTCTTGGAAGTTGTTGAACGTGATCTCTTAATTAATAATATTTCTAAAAGCTTAATAAATGATAGAGCACAATGGCGTCTTGCAATCCATGTAGCCGACCTCACCTAGTGGGATAAAGGCTTGTTGTTGTTGTTGTTGTAATATTAATAATTTGTTAAAATTGAATGAACAAGTTGTGACACATTGAATAAATTATATTTTAAAAAATTAAAAACTTTTTTTTATATATGAACAGATAATGTTTGAATATTTATAAGTAATTATTCAAATGTATGTAACAAGACATCTAAAACTAACAAAAATATGTAAAAATATTTGAAAAATAAATAAATATATATATATATATATATATCTCACACACACACAATAGAATGAGTTGAATTTTAAAAAATTGACAATTTTTTTATATATAAATAAGTGATATTTAAATATTTATAAGTGATTATTTAAATACACAGAATGAAATATCTAAAATATATCATGATAAATAAAAATACTTGAACATAAAAAAAATTATATATATATAATTTCGCATTATATATATTAAATTGTTTGTTGACTTAATGATTTCCTTCATTTCAAAAAAATCAAGGGGACATGAGTTTAAATCTACCCCTAACTCTTTTGGTACATTTGACCAATCATTAACTACTGTGTTGGTACTAGTGGCCTGGCACCGATGGTGGTAGTCATCGACCAACGCGGTGGCTTTTGCAGTTGGTGACATGACACCCTTTTTTTTGTAAAAAAAAAAACGAATAGGCAATGGTATTTTGATAATTGGACCAAAAAATTAATTACAATTCAGACCCTTAGACATGCATTAGGGTTTCAGAATTTCTTGGGCCTTAATTTGTTTCTGAGGGCCCAAATTGAAATTCCCCCTTCTAGTCACTATATCAGTATGCCATGGCAGGACTGTGGCAGGGCCGACGGTATCTAAAACCGAAAAAAGAGTAACGATCTGGCCCACAGAACATCATGTGAACGAGTGAATCTGCTTGCTTTAACCCAAAAAAACGAATTGGATTCCTTTCTTTCTGCACATGGATCAATAAAGTTCCAGCCCATTGCAGTTCCTCCCTTCTCTAGTGTCCTTTCTTATCATTGAATGTGAATTGTCCCTTTGTTCACCATAATTAATTCGTTCACGTACACCATGCCATCCAAGGCCATATGCTTTACAAATCCTAATTAACCATGTTCGCTAAATAAATAGTGATTAATAATCATCAATACTAATGAAGCGAATGCATATTCTTTTGACTTGATTAATAGGAGAGGCATTTTTAATTAGCTCTACTTAGCTACTTGGACAAGACTGGTGACCACGATCGGACTTCGGACCACGTGTTTCAGATCCGTCCAAATAAGGCACCCAAATGATACATTCTCCTCCATCATTTCTGCTCCTTCTATTCTCAACTTGTAGCTCAGCTTCTCCTTCTTCTCCTTGAACACCAACTTGTCCGGGATGACGTGGACCTGAAACCCTTTCACTGGTGTGATGCTTGCTTTGTACGTTGTTTGTCCCTCTCCAACATTGGTCACTGTTCTCTTAAATTCTTTCACCGTTTTGGACCCGCGAGAAGAAGATGAGGCGTTCCCCCTATCAAAGAAAGCAATGAACGAGGGGTAATTAAGGTCCAGGGAAGGTTTGGAGCAATTATTGGCAGAGGATCTAGTGATAATGGAAATGTTCTTTTGGGTGAAGTTTAGTGCGCAAAGAAGGTTCACGTAGTCTTCAATTCCTGCATCGTAAACGAGTCCAGGGTCAAGGGCTCTATTAGGATTAATATGACCAGTTCCCAAGGCCAAAGGAGAAGCCGCTCTGTAATCATCGCCGATGTCTTTGATGAGTCCGAGGGTGTTGTCGAGCATGTCGGATGTAGTCATTATGGAAGACCGAATGGCGGCAGGACTCCAATCAGGGTGTGCTTCTTTCAAAAGAGCAGCTACTCCGGCAACGTGAGGACAAGCCATGGATGTTCCGGATAGCAAATTGAAGTTACTGAATAAATTCTGGGACTCCAACGCTGTTGCCGGAACTTTATGGGGCCATGCAGCTAAGATTAATGTTCCAGGAGCCATAACATCAGGCTTTAACACAAATGGGCAGCTTTGTGAAGGTCCTCTAGAACTGTAACTATCCACACTCGGTGCTGGTTTGGTCCCCAACACGGTCATATTGAAAGCCATGCTCGCCTTTGGATTTGAGTTCTTCATTATGTAATCTTTGATGATTTCTCCTCTCTCTGGATTTATAAAGATGGATGGGAACCTAGTCTGAAAATAAAATGAAATGTCAGGGCTATCTGATATGAACACGCCCCCCCGAACTTTTGCCCTGTCAAGATTATCCACTTGATCGCTGAGGGTTCCGTCCTTCTCTTCACACACCACAATCTTGCTCCTGACTCGTTTCAACTTCTTCAAATCGTCACACATGCCCATGAAGACCAATGGAAAGTCGTGTCCTATGGAGAAGTTTCCTGGATAGAGAGACAAGCCATGGAGTTGAACTCCATTATAATTGCAGAGTGTTAGGGTCCCGTGAAATTCACGGTCCAAGGTACCAGCAGCTACAGTTATAACCCACGGTGTTCCGTTGTGCAAAGTTTCAAGAGATGGCCCCAGGTTCCCTGCTGACGTGGACACGAAAATGCCTCTCTCCATAGCTGCAAAAGTGGCTATAGCAATAGGGTCTTCGTACAAAGCTACTCCATCAAACCCCAACGATAATGAAATAACATCGACACCATCTGTTATAGCACTATCAATAGCAGCTATTACATCAGATGCGTAGGCTCCATATTCCCAAAGAGCCTTGTACATAGCCACTCGAGCCTTTGGAGCCATGCCCGTTGCCGATCCAGAGGCGTACCCAAAGAAAGATGCACCCTCAACATGACTTCCTGCTGCGGTGGTTGACGTGTGTGTCCCGTGGCCTTCCATGTCACGGGTGGAGTTCACGGCTATGGTGATGTTTCGATTCTCGGCGAGCAACCCTTTGTTGAAGAATCGAGCTCCGATGAGTTTCTTGTTGCACAATGATGAATTGAATTGGGTGCCATAGTCACATTGGCCTTTCCATCGATGAGGGATGTCAGGCATCCCTTGGTCTCGAAAGCTTTCGCTTTCTGGCCAAATTCCAGTGTCCACCAATCCAATGATAATGTCACTGCCATAGTTTGAGACTGGCCACGCTCCTACTTTCGGATTGAGACCAAGGAATTGGGGCGAGTGGGTTGTGTCGGGTTTGACAGGCAAATCATGAAATGATGAAACATAGCCCGGGGAGCTCTTAAGAGCTTCGAGCTCGGAAGCGGTTATGTGTGCACTGAAACCATTCATGACGTTGGTATAGCTATAGATAAGTTTAGAAGAGGAAGAGTTAAAATTGGTGGTAGCCTGAGGATTGTTCAGTGCGGAGGCAAGGGTGGACAAGTACCAGCTGTGTTGAGTGGAGAAGGCTTTAGGCATGGCTGATACGTCCATGTGGATGATGTAGTTGTCAGACTGATCAGCCAAGGTGAAGAGGGTGTTGAGGATTGCAATGGAGGATAACCACAGGCATGCACAAAAATGAGTAGCCATTGCCAATAGTAGTTTTGAAATTAGATACTTGGATGGTTGTTTGACGACACGAAACTAATTCAGAGACTTATATAGAGAAGCGATAGGTATGGTTAGGCCCGAGAGATTCCCAACTCACGTCACCACATATGTTCCAAGTTGTCCTAATGGTATCTTACCTGTGGACCACGTATACATTATCAACAGGCCTCGCCAATGTGTGCTGTGGACCTTTTTTTCCTTTTTCCTTTCGAAGCGTCTACTTTTTACTTCCTTTTTTTTTATTAAAAAAAAGATTAATTTGATTACTTTTGTAGTCAAAACTTAAAAAATTTAAATCAGTGGTGAGTAATTCATATCATTAATTGTTGGTAGGCCGCAAAAGCCTCATTAATCACACGTCGCGGACCGGAGAGGAGCCATCCTGAAGCATTGAAACAGAGACTAGTTCGACAGGTGACGTATAAATAGAGGGCGAATGATAGAAAAGAAGATGTATAGTTCTTCAAGAATGTGATTGAGGGGGTGAGATTATAACACTTGAGGCATGTTATGTGAAGAAAGACTGTATGGTGGCACGAGAATCCTTTGAGTGTGCCCACATTCGCATATACACAAGGTTCATGAAAGGTAAGTCCGCTTGTGTGTGGCTGGCGTAAATAAGGAGCGAATTAGATGGAGTATAATAATACAGGTGAGAGTGAGGCATTGTCGGTGAATAGATACGTGGAGGTAAGAGGCAGTGCGATGATAAATCATTGCATGGCGTCGATGTTGATTCCTTCATGAAGATGGGGCTCCGGCCACCGCCTTTGGTGGCCAGGCCACATACGTATTGGCTGTCAAGTCTTTCTCCTCCACACATGCTTTGGGATTGAAATTACTGCTCGTCCTTCTCACTTGAGACAATAATCAATCCCAGACAAAAGTGACCAAATCAAATAGAAGATCAAGTACCCCATTGGCCATTATCATTTGTGAAAGTCTTTGTATACGTAGAGATTTCTGGGCAGAGATAAACTTTGCTTTGGCCACACAGCAGAGACAAGGTACAAATGGCTACTTGTCACCTCTTGTTTTGGATCTGGGGCGAAATTCTATCGTAATAGGTATATTTCCGACTGGTTTGAGACCCCATGCGTCTCTATGCAGTTCCTATCGTAACTGTACCGTATGTGGGCCTATATCAGGGTATACCATTTGACCCAAGCAGGTGAGACTCAGTTCTGATCATGACACAACAAAGCAAGTTTTAAAGCGAATGATTTCAATTCAGCTGGAGTCAGAAACATAGCTCCATGTAGCTTTTATTTGTCTGATATGAGTAGTGTGGTATATTTTAACGAGGTCCTGTTTTACTCCCTCCCAGTTCCAAGGCTTCGCTGCACATGGAACAAAACAAGGCTCTCTCTAAAACTGGAAATGCTGATCAAATTAATCTCCCTATCGTTACTCTTGTTTCCGTAAATAAAGGCACATGTAAATGGTAATGGAATCAGGGGATTGCATTGTTCCAGAACTGTTCATTCTTGCAAACATATCCCCTAATCCTTTGAGATTCTGCATGTTTAAGATTACTGGTCCAAATTTCAGAAGCAAACAAGTGCCAGATGAAAAGTAGGCATCACTGAAAACCATGCACTATGCATGCGCGTTAAATTGCTAAGTGAACAGCTGATTTGCAAATTCGAATGAAGCATAACCAAAACTATGAAACTTCAGAGTAATAAGCCTTCTTTCTTTCTTTTTAATTAAAAGATAAATTTCATTAAACAAAGGAAAAAGATTACCACATAAGCCCAAGGAGAATAGCTATCCAAGAGAGGAAGAATATCTTTTTCTTCTACATTTCTTCCTTAATTTTCTCTCCTTATGTTCCTCCCATTCCAAACAGTGAGTTAGCTGGTAACATACCTTTCCTTTCCTTTTCTTTTGCCAATTGCAAAAATTTACCCCCAGAAGCCAATTACCGGCTTTAATTTCAATCAAAACGAATGCTTAATAATTTTTAACCTTCCTCTATGCAACAGTAATCACCTCACATTTGTACCTACTCAAGTGAAAGTATTGTATCTTTCGAAGTCTGAACCATATGCACAGCTCAAAAGGTTCATAAAGAGATACAATTAAAGCAGAATTTGCAGCCACATAAGATTAAAATATGATATGATAGGCAAAGGTCATGTGCGCTCTCAGTGATATCAAAGGCAAAGAAGTGTTCTAAACAGATACCCAAAATGCAACACATATAGCAAGTGCGGGTCCAGAGAATGATGCGTTGGGAGTAGTAAAAACATAAAGCATAAGGTTCCCTCAACTTCAGAAAATCTTCTTCAAAGAAGTTTCGTTATGTTAGTGCAGGTCCGGAGAATGATGAGCTGGGAATAGAAAACATTTAGCTTCTGAAACCTCAAAAATTACAAAACTTACAAACATTGACAGAACAGACTTAACCAATCCTTGCTACTTCTAACACTCCACAAAGAATTGCCACCAGGCAACATTTTTCTTAAGGTAGTCATATCTCTTTCTCACACGTGGCGCATAATGAAACAAAGAAAACAATGGGCTGAAGAAGGATACAGAAGAAAATTCCAGTAGAACACATAGCAGGACAAAATGGTCAGATGGAGTAATAGCAGCAGCTAAGATTTAGTAATAAGGTTATGAGGTTACGTGCGGAGACAAGTAAGGAATAGTCGCAAGGTATGTCTGGCCAGTCACAATAAAAAGTTTACCAAAATGATAAACAATAAAACAAAACAAATAACAGATTAACAATGGAAATACAGAGATGGATCTTCATTCAACTACATAAACTAAAAATTAGATCAATATGTTATAGCATTTAGAAACCATCCATTTATTTAATAATGACATAGCTCATAAATTCTACAGGTCCTGTACTTCCAAAAAAATGGTAGCATGCACGAAAAAAGAAAGGGGGAAACAACATGCAGAAAATTTCCATCAAATCCATGAACACAGAATCGATAAAGAAAGAAGGAATTGTGCTTAATCTAACAAATAAAAATAATACTTCCTGAATTGACTGATAAGAGATATGATGGCTGAACATCTTGCATATCTAGGTGCCAGCCGATAAAAATGCATCATACTTCATACCCAATCATGAGCGCCATTGATCCCTCATATTCCCACAAGCCACAACTGATTGAAATTCAAGCAATAAGCTCTGGGACGGCAGATAAGGAAGGGCAGAAGTTGGGCAATGTTTAGGCAAGGGAAGAAAGAGGAGAAATTTCTAAGATGAATTTGAAGTGGATCATCAAATGTGTGTGAAGTAATAGATTGAGACAGGTAAGCAGCATTAGAGTCAGGTAATTCTAATATAATTCATTAAAAAGGGAAGGTGGGGGGGGGGGAAGAAAAGAAACGAGAACAAACATGATTTAGGCTGATAAGACAATCGGCTTACTGCTTTTAATTAAACGGCATCCAGTAGCTTGTAGCAACATATTGACTAACAAACACATTACACATAACACGTAAAGAAGACAGTGCTTAAAGCATCCCTAGTAAGGCTACCGTCCTTCGAGTTCTTGCTTTATCCTCAAAGACCTATATAGTGTGGGAACTACTTTCATATGCACTGCTGTCACCGGCTTTGCTTACTCGCTTTTCCATCAACCTATCTCTCGTGTTATCCTGCTGGGACCGTCCATATTCCCTTCCAGCTCTACGGTCCTATAAAAGATTCCAAACTCAATTACCACAAAATGCTCCAAATATCACAGAAGGTATGGCTTCAAGGAAGATATTTGAATATTTAACGTAATTCCAGCATGTAAACATCAAAGCAGCAACAAAATGAAAATGCAGAAAACTGGTCCAACCCCAACAGTTTCCAAACATGCTATGACATCATAAATTAAGAGAAATAGTACCACAAAATTTGCTATATTCCAAAATTTCTAGGTAAACCATGCTTCACCGGGAAGTGTTAAAAGTGTGAAGAGTATGGGCAAACTCACATCTCGAAATGGGAACTCATCGGCTTCGAGCATATGTATAACGTGTCCCATTTTTGGCCTTTTCTGGACATTTGGATCTACACACCGTAAAGCTACTAACAAGGCACGCTTCAGTGCTCTGGAAGAAGGTTTCTCAGGTAGCCTAGGATCCAGAACACCTTCTGCATTCCGGTTTGTAACCATCGTCTTCAGCCACTCAACCAGGTTCACCTGAAAAGTTGAATTTCCAATTATCATCCGAAAGAGTACGTTTGGTGGAGGAAGAACATTGAAAAGATGCCTTAAAGTGACCCAAAAAAAGAGTCACCGAATAGTATGGGTTGATACCTCTCCTGGAGGACGGCTGTAATCAACTGGGTTTCTACCAGAGATGATCTCCATAAGAAGGACTCCAAAGCTATACACATCGCTTCTTTCGTTTAACATGCCAGTGCTTGCATATTCTGGCGCCACATATCTGTGAAACGGAACGGGTCATCTGTCCTGTTAGGCCAGGATCACTTTATGAAGTTAGAAAGTGGCTACATCGTTTCAAAGAAAAGTTCAACCAACCCAAATGTTCCCATCACGCGAGTCGTCACATAACTCCTTTCGGATCCCAACAGTTTTGCAAGCCCAAAATCAGAAACTTTCGGATTCCATCGCTTATCAAGCAATATATTGCTGGACTTGATATCACGATGAACAACTTTCGGCTCAAGGCCCTCGTGAAGGTATGTCAACCTACAATCAATCAGCATGAAGCTTTAACCTTGAAATAAAGGAGTAATGTTAAAAGAACATGAACTTGCAGAAAGTAAGCGGATATAAATGCAAGTATTTACCCTTTTGCAGTTCCAAGTATTATATTCATTCGAATATCCCACGTCAGGGGACTAGAAGGGCCGGCATCTCCATGAAGCCACTGTTCTAGATTTCCATTGTCCACATACTCATAAACAAGCATCCTGCAATGATTGAAGCATATGAATTAGTACCGAAATGCCTAACACTCAAGATGTTCAGACAGCCACGGCGTATAGTATTGAGAAACCAGGCAATACACAAGATGAAAAATAAAAGCATTGAATATGTCATCAATCAATATTGAAATACCTATGAGCTCCTTCAACACAATACCCAAGCAACCTCACCAAATTTTTATGCCGAACGCGCCCAATTGCTTCAACTTCCACCTTGAATTCCCTCTCAGCTTGACCCCTGTACGCAGAAAACCTACTGTCTTAACCTTCTTCTAGGCGATGCTAATTACGATTCATTATTGAGCTCATGCGTCCATGTCACATTAAATACGTAACAGTTAAAACTTTCTTAGGAGCTTAGAAAAACTCGTGGAGCTAAGATTTAAAGAGAAAGTAAGAATCATGCAACCCATACTTATTGTTTAGCAAATTTTTAACAGCAACATTGGTATTATCTTGCAACACCCCTCGGTAAACAATCCCGTAGCCTCCTTCACCTATGACGTTCTCATCGGCGAAAAAATTGGTGGAGACCTCAAGCTCTCGAAGAGTGTACCAATGCCCCCAACCCAAATGAGAAACTTCCGGCGCAGCAATGGAGAGTTGCTCGCCTGACCGAACCTCCCCGCTGCCATGCGATGAACCGCCCCCCCTCTCAGGGTACGAAATGCAGTGGCCCTTTCCAATTTCAATGTGGATTCTGCGGGGCCCTGTTCCTGGGCTTTCGTCCTCCTGCTGAAGAAGAATGGCTTGGGCTCTTTCTAGAGCCTCGGACTGTGATTCCGGCAGTGGGTCGGGGTAGGGCAAGAGGACTGGCTTAGTTGGTTCACGAGAATGGTCAAGCCGGATTTCCTGGATCTCCCTGGACACATTTGGTATGTTGGGTTTCTGACTAGACTTGAGCTTGGAAGCATTGTTGCGCTTTGCAGCGAACCAGAGTGATATGACAAACAGTAAAAAAACAATGGCTGCTCCAACGCATACGCCTAGCAGCACCCACAGTCTTAACCCAAAAACTGAAGTATGCTTTGAGAGCTGATCGTTCAGAAACGCGTAGCTCGTCATTGTTCTCTTCTTCTCCCCTCCCCAAATTATGAAAGGAGGAGGAGGATGAGAAGACTAACCAGTAACCACCCCCAAGTGAAACGGAAACACGGTCTGTGATTGTGCAGCGATTAGCAAGGTGAAACCGCACGGCGCCAGTGGAGCGAGAACTACGAGTTTTGGGTCTCTTTCTTCCTACAATAAAGAAAATGTTCCTCTTGTTACTTTTTGGCATTTTACCTTGAAGTCTGTGCCTTTCATCTCAAAATTTTGTAGCAGGTTGAATTTCTGGCAATCTGTAGCAGGTTGAATTTGATTCGTATGTAACCTGCATTATGAAGCTTGAACAACTGTGGTTGAATCATGAATGTTCAATTCTGTAATTGATGTTTTTTTTTTGGTGTCAAAGTTTTGTGGTCGTCAACTGAAAATAAATAAAGGTGCAGAGATGAAGACAGAAAGAAAGGTCAAAACCCTGGATACGGCAGCATCTTCATTTAGAGCATTCGAAACAGAGATTGGATTATTAAGAGAATTAAATATTTAGAACCATTAACATCTCTTTTACCGGACCCTACTGGAGACTTCCTGCCTCCTGCTTGTTGCTTTCATCATGTACTAAGCCTTACTTTTCTCAACGATAAATGCCTTCATAAAAAGGCAGAAAAATAATAATTAGAAACCCTTAAGACTATTAATAATAATTATAAATTTTAAATTATTAAAATTTAAATAATAAATTAAGATCCGATTAAAAAAATTTAAATAGTCAATTGCAAAATCAATCAAGTCAGTTAAAAATTTACAAGTCTCAATTATAAATTTTATTTTTTATTGTCAATATATAAATAAATTAATTAAGAAATTAAGAAAATATACTTAAAATTAAATTAATTGAGAATTCATAAGAGTCAATTATCAATTGCAAGCTCATCACTTGTGATTTACAAAAAATTAGTTATGAAATTGCAAATCAATCACTTATAAATCAATATTTTTTATTATCAATATATAGATAAATTGTTTGAAAATTGTAATGTATTTAAAATTTATGAGAATCGGTTGTGAATTTCAAGCTAATCTTTTATGATTTTTTTATCACTTAAAAAATTAACAAAAGATATTTAAAATTGTTTGCAGTGTTAATTGGGGTTTTTCCGGAGTTAATTATGAACTCAAGCTAATCAATAAAAAATAATTTTATTGTAAATAAGGATTATGATTTGTTGTTGGAATTTCAGTAATTTGGAGCCTGTAATTATCATTAATATTAAGTTTCTAATTGTCATTTTCCCTGAATCTGGTCAAGAATTAATTTTTTATTTTAGTGAAAACTCCCCAAACTCCCCAGAAAAAGATGTTAATTACCTTAGTAGACATAGGAGCATGAACCAGAGTCAGTTTTAAGATTGGTGGCAGGAAACTGTGGGATTTGGGCAGACATACGGAATAGTGAATAAACTAACATGATGGAATCTTACTTAAGAAGGTGGACCCACTCACTGTAAGTAAACGCTGTCAGCGCATGATCATCTTGACGTTATGGACGCAATTTCATTTAAAAACTAGACTCTTTCCCGTGCGTGCGTTGCACGGATTAAAATTAAAAAATTTAAAATAAATATAATTAATATCATTGATAAAAATTGATGTAATTACTACATTTTGTGAGTACTCTTAATTCTCATTGCATCGTTAAATATAATTTAATTAAATTAATAATTCACACATGAAATATTCTATCAACCACATTTAAATACACAACTTCTAAAAAAATTAATTTTAAATGTTTTAATTTCTCAAAAGACACTATAATGAGAAACTTTTAATTGAAAAATTAATCAATTATAAATTTAATAGTGAAATATTAGAAAAATAATTTTTCAAGTTTCAATGAGACAATCAATAATTTAAATCTTTAAAATTTAATCCTCCCCAATATTCAAAGTCACTGAGATTTTTTTTTTGTCAAGCATTAAAATTGATATTAGGAAAATAGTCTTACAAGTTCTGATAAAATAATTAAAATTTAAATATTCAAAATTTAATTTTTTTAATATTCAAAGTACTTGAGATTTAATTTTTACTATCAAACATTGAAATTGATATTTTTGATCTAGTATAAAGTTATAATAAAAAATTGAATAATTTTAATAGTCTATATTTGAACAGTTTAGAACATGTGTTTAATCTAAAAGTAGAAACTCAAAAAAGACATAGATGAATAGACTTAATCAACCATTTTATAATACATTTATCAGACGATAAAGGCAAGTATAAGATTAAATAGTAACGAGCCAAGGAACTCTAAAACGCCATCAATTCTAGCAAATTTAATAGGCAAAGGGCCCTTTACAATAAGATCCTACCCATAGAAAACAAAAAAATAGAAATCTCACCAAATAAGCCTTGTATTTCACATCTTGTTATAGCAAATCAAAAGACAAATTCTATAAAATTGAACTTGCAAAACATGCCTCTTCTTTAGCAATAAGGCATTAAATCTAAACCATTTAAATTTTAATTTAATAGTTAATAATTAGGAAGAGGAGGGGAAAACGATGGGAAGGGAAGAGGAGAGGATCCTCTCCCTAATTATCAATGGGATCAAGGGAGTGAAGTGGATGCTATCTTTGTGTGTGCACTGTAGTGATACTCTAGAGAAATATTAGAGTTAATAATTTAGATTGTTTGGGCTTATTTGAATAGGACTTAATTTATATTAGTTTATTTAAATTGAGCTTAAAGTATCATATTCCTTTTAAAAAATTCATATAGTTAAATTCGACCTCAACACCTTCAGACTTATTTAGGCCAGTTCGATTATCCAAAAGTTTTTTAAAATATTTTTTTATTTTTTAAACCAATTTTAGTTTTTAAATAATTCTGTTAAGTATAAAATATTATTTTAAATTTAAAAAATAAAATAAAAAATAATAATTATCAATTTTATACTTAAGTAGCAATGTTATTGTTTTATTGTGTTATTATAATTTATTCATAAAAGTTTCATTTACTAGTAAATTAATATTTTAGTTATTTAAATATTGCTTTTATTATAATCATATATAAATATTTTATATATTTTAATTAAATTATATTATTTTAAATATAATTAAATTAATCTCAATTCAATCACAATTAAACTACTAACTTAAAATTACTGTTCTAATTAGTTCAAAATTTTTATTAACTTTTGAGTAAATTGTACTTCCTTTTTTTAAGAATATGAGAAAAATAACTATTATTATACTATATAAAATAAAATTATTTAATTATGAGTAAAATACTATTTTTTAGAGTCATTTTTCCTTCAACTTTTTATGTTGTTTTACCCTTACAATCAAAATTTTTTACTCTAGTTTATTCTTAATTTTTAACTAAGTTTAGCATGGACAATAACTAAATAATTATTTAAAAATATTATTCTATTTATTATATTTATTTAATAATAAAGTTGAGAATTCGTACATGCCTAAATTTTATTTTAACTTTAAAATTAATTATCTTATTTTATAAAAAATATATAATATTTTTTTAAATGCGCAAATGATGTATAGGATTTAAAATTTTTTTAAAAAAAGATCAGGTCTTAAAATATAAAATTTTATATTAAAATATATTTTAAATAATATTTTGAGATATTTTATTGATTAAAAATAATAAAAATATAAAAATATAAATATTTTTTATTTTTTTAAAATAACTATAGTAAAACATTTAAATATATAAAATGACATAAAACTTAAAAAATTTTGATATAAAATGATATAGAACTTAAAAAATTAATAAATATTTAATATATATTATATATTTTTTTAAATTATTTTTTTATTCAGGTGTTTAGGTTAAGCCCCAACCTGATCGAGTTTGGCCCAAATTTTTTTGAGCCTACTCAGGCCTACCTAAATAGACCCAAGTATTAAAAAATTAATAAGTTTTTAAGCTTGGCCTGAAATTTTTCGAGCAAGTTTGGGCTAGCCCAAATTACTAATTTTGAAAAATATAAATGAGAGTCAATAATTTAGATCAAGCTTGATTGGCCATTCCGAATTCACCTGAAAAATTTAAAATTAAGCCCTAAAAATATATTATTTTTTAAATTCAGCCAAACCTGATTGAGTTTAGACTTAGCCCAAATATCCAAATAAAAAAATAATTTTAAAAAAATATTTAAAATATAATAAATGCTTTTTACCAACAGATATAATAAATGTTAATTAATTTTTTAAGTTTTATGTTAATTTATACCAAAATACTATATATTTGAGTGTATTACTATAGTTATTTTTAAAAATAATTAAAAATATTTATATTTTCATTGTTTTATTATTTTTAATCAATAAAATAACTCAAAATAATATTTAAAATATATTTTAATATTTATTTTTATATTTTGGGACCCTATTTTTTTAAAATTTTTTTTGAGTCTTATACATTATTTAATATCCAAAAAATATATTTTATATTTTTTATAAAATAAGATAATTAATCTTAAAGTAAAAAAATTAAAAATAAATTTAAAAATAAAATTTTGAATGCACAAATTCCCGACTCTATTACTAGATAAACATAATAAATAAAAAAATATTTTTAAATAATTATTTAGTTATCGTCTATGATAGACTTGGTTAAAAATTAAGAACAAACTAAAGTAAAAATTTCTTGTATGTAAGAGTTAAACAATATAAAAATTTAAAGAAAAAATAATTCTAAAAAATAGTATGTTACTCATAATTAAATAATTTTGTTTTATCCAAAAGTTATTAAAAATTTTAAACTAATCGAAATAGTGATTTTAAATCAATAGTCTAACCGTAATTGAATTGAGATCAACTTGATCATAATTAAAATAATATAATTTAATTAAAAGATGTAAAATATTTATATATGACCATGATAAGAGTAATATTTAAACAATTTAGACATTGATTTACAAATAAAGAAAACATTTGTGAATAAATTACATATAATACAATAAAATAGTAAATGGCCACTTAAGTACAAAGTTAATAAGTTATTATTTTTTATTTTATTTTTATAAATTTAAAATAATATTTTATGCTTAATAGATTTGTTTAAAAATTAAAATTTATTCAAAAAATAAAAAAATATTTTTAAAAAGGTTTGAATATTTGAGCAGGCTCGAATAAGCCCGAATGTATTAGAATCAGGCTTGATTATATGAATTTTTTAAAGAGGTAAGATACTTTTAAGTCCAATTTTAATAAGTTCAGCTCGAGTTGGGCCTGACTTGAATAAGCTTGAATTGTCCAAATTACCGGCTACATTATGGACATGCACATGAAACATCCATCTCAGATCTTAGTATTCATTATACGCTGGTTTGAAATTCAAATTCTCTATATGAATAATTTCTATGTTAATTAATTTGCTGTACGTGATTACCCCTCTAGATCTCTCTCCCGTTTTCTCTGGCTCTCACTGACATACGGAATGAGTTGAGAAGTACGTATAATTAAGAGAAGGGCTTGTGAAACAAAAATCCGGGGACTACAAATGAAGGGCGAGCAACGGGGAAGGTATAGCAGGCTGGTGCCGTTCTCACTCTTCATTGACGATAATAAATGTCATCCTGTATTGTAGATTTTTTTCAAGACAACCTGTCAACCTTCTTCCTCGTTGTCGCTCTGCAATGCAGACGCTAACAACTTGTAATTGTTGTTCCTGTTTTATAATTATTTTCTTCATTATTCATACATTCCTCCTTCGCTCAAATAATTTGTTCACCATCTGCTAGCTTTCCCATAATAATGCTTCTATGGTATCCATGAGAATCCCGAGTGAAATATATGCACACTTCTTTTCGTCTTACTTAGGAAGCCGTGAACTTAAATCACAATCACTCAGCATTATAAGCAGTAAAATAATCCACAAGGCACGAGCCATGCGCCTCTATCCACTTCATGAATTAGCTCAACCACGTGCACGCACTTCCACTAAGTTAATCTTTTAAATTTATTTAGGAAGAGCATTGAGCAACATCACAAACCACAAGTTCACCTCCACTGACAGTGAGTTTCAAAGTTTCCCGCCGCACAAAATGCGTCTGCTTGTGAAAGGCAAAACACATATTTTCGATCATGGTTGGTTAATTTCTCTTGAACAAACATAATCGATTATTCAATAATAATCAAGCGTCCAAAACCATTAGATCCGTTGTTTGGTGCTAGCTGCTCCTCTCCCTTCAATATCAGACAACGGCGATGCTCTGCTTTGCTCTACTTATTTTTCTCTCTCTCTCTCTCTTTTCAAGTTCTCTAATAATTGCATTCGGAGTCATCTCTTTACCAAGAACTTAAATTATTTGATCTATATCCTTCATATTCTTTTTCCATCCTTTCATGCATATGCGGGTTCTCAAACAGTAAACCCATGTTATAACTAATAAAACTAACCACGTACCTCGTAAAAAGTAATGATTTCCGGAGGATCTTTTACTAATCCACGTTAATACAGACAGATGAAAAGGACCCGGAAGGAGAACCGAATAAAATTAAAGGGAAAGTATAACATGTTGTGTTTAGTAGTGTGAGCACCGCCCTGTCCACTATTTGTGAAGGAGCCCCACCATGTCGCCTTCATTTCTGACACGCTACAGTCTCAGCACAGGTGGCTTTATCTTCATTATATGCCTAACCTCTTCCACCCTTTCCTGCGCATGCATTATTTCTTTTACTCTCCTCAACTAAATTTGTAGCCTTCTTCTACATCTAGCTTCTCAACAACGCTTCATTTGGGAATGAAGGAGATTGATAGATCATCTGTTTTGGCTTCACCAGACTGCAGGTGAAGTTTCCCGTTAGCGCGCAAAAGGATAGTAATCCTTTCGTTTTTCAATGATCTTTTAACTATTTGTCAATATATAAAACAAATTTCTACATTAAAGTTATATACTGAGACGTAAGACTTATATATACCGCAACATTAGCACGTTCAATCAAAATTTTATTCTGTATTGGATTATATGACCCTGTGTGCATTCTAAATGGCGGTTAATTATCTTCGCATGCAACATATAGATTTCCTTATCTAAAAGTTTGTCATCGCCCAAAAGAACTTAATGGAAAACACACACAATCATGAGAAGTAAATGCATGGGACTTGTGAATCAAAGTGTTTGATTTTTAATTTTGAAGTGTTGATCAACTTCCTTTACCTGCCTTTTTTAATATATATATATATATATATATTGAAAAAAAATCTAACAGAAGAAGCTGAACGTGCCCACAAGGTCCAATAGCTATGCCATCGATAAACAGAAAGTTTGTACATTTCGATAAGCTCGGAGAGCTCATAGTTGTGTCAAACTGTCATCGCTCGCACAAAGAAAATCTTGACCTGGCGTGTCATGGTCAGCAATTTCGAGGTTCTTCTGTAGATTATACTGTCCTTGAACCGAAAAAAGAACTAGTGTTCAATGGTGGCCTCCAATTTACCAAGTTCTTTCTATCTCCTCGACGCCTGATATCAGGCTGCTCAAGAGACATCTGAAGACGCGCTCTTTTCAATGTTTGTGGTATCCAAATGGAGCTGTGGTGCGCCATCAGAAAGTGCATCCTTCACATCACACACAAGAATTCGTTATCAATACAACGTATTTATACATAACAAGTGACACTATATTTATATACTATATATCGTGTGACTCCTTCCATACATGCAAGAAATTCGCACTATAGTTATGTTGAAAATCTTTAGAAAAGGGAAACAAAATCGTCTTACCTTGGATGATGTAGAAGGGTCAAGCAGTCCAGTGTGAAATTTGAAACCAGATGAGTTATCTGGGTTGGTCATGTTTGTCATCGAGGGCATGATCAAAGGCTGGTCTGAGATGCAGCAATGCTTTGGAAGGCTGAAGTCTGGGTGCACCAAGCATTCAGCATTTACGGACGAGGCAATTCCGCAGCAAGAATTCTGATATCCGTTGGACTCGTCAAAATTATTCAACCCTGTCTGAGGCAGTGCCGTTGCCATAGACTGCAGTCCTCCTGGTAAACACATTGGATGCAAGCTCAAACCATTTCTCATCATTAACATCTGCACAACCAAGTACAAGTGCTAAAGTGATAGTGTCTTTGAAGGAATAACAACGCAAGGCCTTTCTGTCTGATCACATGAGTAAGAGCGTGGAACCAATGCTTAAGACGAGATTATTGTGTCAAACAAGTTTAACTTGTTATAACTGAAACAATTCTCTAAAGAATTTCGACACTAATAATGCTTTCGTTGAGAACGCAAGCACATGTACAATTTCATCACCATGCTTTTCTTTTCTTTATCAATTCAAAATTTCATGCTCAGCACTGCACAGTATTAGAAATATCACGTTAACCATCTCTCAAACCTTGTTATTATTTCTGAATTTGTGGCCTAGAAGGTGATGCAATGCACCGATCAAAACAGATTTCAAAATTTTCTTCTTATCTCAAGTCGAAGTGTTGGTGGAATGCACAACTTATTCGTTTGATATTGAACTGTCCAAGGTAAACAATAATCTCCACTAGCAGCGGAAAAAAATAATACTACGAACAAAATTTGAAAGAGAAAAGAATGGTGAACAAATTTGCGATGGTCGTTGTAGAGTTATATATATATATATATACATATTATGTTTTCAGGCTATCAATCGATATGAAGCAATGAAAAAACACCAGGAAAATAACCATGGGACATATAGAACAGCGACAAATCACATCATCAATATAATATCGTCATGTAATACCAAAGACGCAGGCAGAAAGAAAACTCACTTGCACTTGAAGTTGAAGCTGCTTCAAATATTCAATCGCCTCATCCAACATTGAAGCTTTATCCGTCTATTGGAAAATAAACAAACAAAATCAGCCAAAAGAAAAGAAAAGAATTTTTTTTTTTTTAAAGATCAAACCCATCGAAAGGTTAAAAGAATACCTTGTTAGAATTTGGAATTAAGTTCTGCAAAGCCTTCATTTTCTCGTTAATCCTACTCCTCCTCCTCTGCCCCGTCAATTAAGACGAGTCAAGATGAAGTCCGAGATTGGTACAATATGTAAGAATGGAACAGTTAAAAAGCTAACCTTTTCAGACATATTATGAACCTCTGCAGCTCTGCTCCTCTTTGAGGAAGTACGTGCTGGAACTCGCTTTGTCTGCGACGCCTCAGCATTCTTCTGGACTCAAAAAGAATCCACCCAGAACAGAGTGATTAATAAAAACCGAATCTCGGTTTGGCTACTGTGGTTTCTTGAGATAAATAAATGAAGAAAAAAAGAGAAACTTTCGAAGGCAAGACCAAATGCAATTTTAACTTGAATATTTGGTAACACGTCCACCTCATTTTTAACATTTTGTTTGTTTGTACTGAGTGGAAGGGTATTCCCAAAAGCAATAATGTGAAAAGATCGCTTCAAAAGTTAAAAAGTGTCAAATTCATTACATATCTTCATTTTTAGCACCAACAACCCAAAAAAAATAACGAATTCGAGTAAATCTGGCAGCCAAAACGAATTTCTTCGGATACGGGCAGCGCTACCTCGGTAGCGCAAACGAAATTGCCGGGATCAATCTCCGGCGAAATCCTGTGTTCTTTGAAGGAGGTATTTTCATCAGAATCGTCGACACCAGTCGGAAAGAACTCATTTCCACTAGCCTCTTTCACATCAGTAGGAACGTAAGCATAGGGATCAGAAAAGTCGAAAGAATCGGAGACTGCATCCGAAGAACCAACAGACTTGCCATTTTTGTGAGGGGAGTCCGACCCCAATTGGCCAAACCCGGCGGTCCCCGCCGGCACGGGGAGCCATGGCGGCGGCGAGGTCTTGGGTTTGGTAAGGATGGAAGAGGAGGGCGAGTTATCGAGAAGGTGGGTGAAGAAGGTGGAGAAATCATCAGAATCAGAAGGCATGACGGAGGTGAGGAGGGAGGGAGGAGTACCGTACATATCGGCCATAGATATAAAGAAAGGAGAGAGAGATGGAAGAGAGAGTGTTTAGGAGGTTAGGAAGGATTTGGATTCATGTCCAAATTGCGCAAAAACGCCTGCGCTCATCTTTTGTACCTTTGTTGGGTTCTTGGCTCGCAGTTGTATGGAAGCGTCCCAAGCATTTTTCGTTAAGCCTGCATTTAGCTGTGGGTTTAACGAATGAGCGTGTTTTCAAGTTTCAAGCTCTTCGAACGACGCCGTTTTGAAAGCAGTTCATACAATTTGATTACCGTCCCGCCTCCCTCACTTGGTCTGCCAGTCACTTGCCCGCCCCAGTACATATTTGCATCTTTTCTTTTCCAACCAAATCTTTTATTAATACTTTTTCCATTCCAAAGCCTGTTTGAAACTGGTCTTTTTTTTTTAATTATAATTTTATAAAATATGTTTTGAAAATAAAAAAATAATAAAAATATGTATTTTTTTATTTTCCTTTGTTCTCTAAAATAATAATCTCAAAATACTTATAAGTTGTTTTTATTTTTTTATTCTCTAAAACAATATTTTATTTTTTATTTTTTAAAAATATATTATCAAATAAATTTTTTTATTTTTTTATTTTGGAGAACAAAAACTGTTCTTAGAACAAGTTGTCAAACATGTCCTATATTTTTTTTTCTGTTTTTTTAAAGTGATACTCATTTTATATTAAAAATTCATCTTCTTCCATTAAAATACTTGTATGTTCTATAACTTTATTATCCTTGTAGGCCATAGACAATGGGAAATATTTAGGTAAGTTAGCGTACCACATCATTTGTGATCTATTTGATAAAAATATAACATTTAGATGATATTAAATATAAATTAATTTTATATTAATGATAATAAAAAGAAAAAAGGCAAAAATATGCATTCTGTTATAAAAATAAAATTAATTAAAAAATATCACACAAAAATTTATTTTACTTACTTGATGATAGTAGATGACATTAAATATAAATTAATTTTAATATTAATGATAGTAGAGAAAAAAAAGCAAAATGGGCATCTATTATAAAAGTAAAATCAATTAAAAAAATAATATAAGATTTTATTTAAATTACTTAAAATATTTTAATGTGACAGATTATATATGATGTAATATATTTATCTATTTAAGTATTTCTCGTAAACTATAGTATGGATGGAGTTCTTTTATTAATTCATTAAGTTGGAATCTAAAACCATTATCAGTTACGGATTCCCCCCCCCCCCGGGGAAAGATTCGTTCTCATCGCACCTGCTTTTTATTTTAATTATTTTTATTCTATTTCAATTTATTTCGTGTCAATAAAATCAAATTTTTTGAGCTGTGTTGGAGTAAGCTTCTTTCCTTCTACCAATCCCTCCTGTTTGCCTTCTCCTACCTGTTATAAAATAAAACTCTTTCAATCTTAAATTATAAAATACTTTTAGATTAAATTACATGAATCAAAAAATCTTATTGAATATACTTTAATTTTATTTTTTAAGAATAAAAATATCAATTTTTAAAATACCTTTTATTTTATACTTCAATTGTAAAATAATATTAAAAAGAAAAAATATATGAGAAATGTAATATTAAAAAATTTAATTGATGAAATCTTATTTTTGTTAAAATGTTTTATATTTTAGGATATCAATTTTTTTTAAAATGAGTTACTATTTCATTGTTAACATTTGATATTAATATTAAATTAGTGATTAAAAAAATTTCATGACTATATTATGAAAGATTTTCACTTTAAAAGAAATTATAAAAATTTTTAAAATATAACGTCCAAAAAAAAAATACATACATTGAAAATTTGAAAATAAATTGAACTAATTCTAAAATCCGACAGAAAATTAAATTTATTGTTAATGCAACGGCGGTTGTCCTTATTTTATATGCTTTCTTTCAAATCATAGCCATTCTTTACAACATAAGAATCTAATTAAAATATATGAAAAAGAAGAAAATTAATAAAACGATACAAAATTCACTGGTGGGGAAGGGGGAATTGGAGTCAAAGATAGAATGCAGAGCGTGTGAGAGAAATTACATGATCAACTCATTTAAGAATATGATTTCTACATGTATGATGGCATGTAAGGCTGATTTTTTATTGTTATGGTTATGGATTGAAGGAAGGAAGGAATGCATTAGTTTGACTGGCGACATTGAATTGCAGGAATGGATGGCAGCTGGGAATATGAAGAAAGGAGAGAGAAAATAGGATTGAATTTAGCAAAAATAAATAAGAGGAGGAAGGAAAGAGAGGAATAAGGAAAAGCAAAGAATAGAAAAGTCGAAGACGTCATATCAAAGTCCCAACCAACCCAACGGACAGCACAGCACCCCCAATCCATCCAATATTTATTTATTTTGAGATTTGAAGATAGGGAACCCGAGGAAGTGCAATTCCCGAGGCGGCATTTCACTGCCCTCCACCCTCAACCAACGCTTTTGTTTTGCCCTTCTGCTCTCTCTGTTATTCCCTCTCTACAGCCACAAAGCCGTTTCATTTATGGGCTCCATCAAGCCCACAACTTTATTGTCCCAACCTACCCGTTCCTCCCTCCAAATCGCGCGAGCAGGATCCAAATTACCCAAGGCTAGTCAAAATATCAAGTCACGGACGAGCTAAAATCAGTTTAGGGGATCTGAAAAAGAAATCTTCATTTACGATATTTTAAATAATTAAACTAAATTTATAGATAACAACAACAACAAGGCTTTATCCAAAAGAATAACTCCCAAATGCTTCAACAGGTTCTAACTCTGGATCCCATATATAAATCACGTGCACTCTTCCACTATACCAACCCTTCCTCTTTAAATTTATAGATAACAACTAAACATAAAATTGAAGGATAAAAGTCAATCAAATACCGTAATAAAAGGATCATAATAAAATATTACTAAAATACTCAAACTTTAATTAATCATTATCAATACTTGAAAAAGTTTAGGGAGGACCAGCAGAAATTGAACGCCCACCCCTAAACTAACATCAAGCACTAGCGTCTTTTTTTCGTCGGGACAATCCAGGACAGACCGATATTCACAAGAATTACGCGTGCGCGGAATATGATGATAATGGGAGAAGCACCAGGGCCATAGACATGCTTGTCAACCAAACCATCAGCAAGCTACAGCCTTTCAGCCTAAATAAGTCGCTTTTTCAGCAAGTATCGCTGTCATAGGGATACATCAGTCATAATAAATCGAATAAAAAACATTGATTTTAGCATCATGGGCAATGTAAAAATGCTTTTGATAGACAGTAAAGAGTAAAAACCAATCCCGATCAACTAGAATAAAGACGAACAATGCTTCCTTCACCCAATGCCAATTATCAGTCCCATAAAGTACGAGATCATTGGCTTAGATAAATAAACAAAATGCTAAAAACGAAGATTGGGGGGAAGGGGGAAGGGAAGACATTTGTAATTTGTCACATGGACTGGTGCTTGAGCATTTACCAACACTATAGATAGAAAGAGGGTATGACAACGGACAAGGCAGCAAAGCACCAGAGAATTCCGCTTCAATTAACCTGACTTTCTAAGGTAATTGTGCCAATTCTCTCCACCTACATCTAAATCTCCAGATTTTGTTTTCGATGGAATCAAATGCCTGAGAATTGAATGGTTGTCTTGTCTCACGATGCCAAGCCCGTTGTCTTGCAAATGGGACACAGGTTCTTATGCATTAGCCACTGTTTGATACAGTCTGTGTGGTAATCGTGCCCGCAATCAAGGGTTCCAATATCATCTCCGTCATCATACTCCTCCTGCACGTGACACAATCAAGCGATTCAGACCTGCGTGCTGGGTTCTGGAGATAAAACTAGCCATGAAGTTGAGACAGACAGGTTTACCTGACAGACACAGCACGGTTCTGCCTCAAGCTGAGATCCTCCTTCAACTGAATACTTCTTCTGTTTCAAAAGTTTCACTACAGTTTCTTCGCTCAATCCCGTACTAACATTTCCAATTCGCTCTTCCAGAGCCAACAATTCCTATCATCACATTTATGAATCAAAAGGAAACATTTTAAAATGAATATTAGAAGGAACTAAATGCTGTAGCAATCACACATGAAGGAAACCAAGTGTCAAATTTTCTTACTTCGTAAGACATGTTATCAACATCAAGACGCATATCCCTGTGTCGATCATGAATATCAGCCATTCCAGAAAAGACTGATTGGTCAAGAATCATAACATCCTGTGACAAAGTTAAGGCATAGATATTACATGACTGATTTAATAGCTCGCCGCCCACCTGGATGAAATGATGAGCAGATAAAGATTCATGCATGTAACTTCAAAAAACTGTTTTTTGCACTCTGTGAAAGGGGCTCAGGCTGCTAGCAGAGGCAGCTTCCCCAATCAAAAAAATCCACAAAAGTTGTGAGCCCATACAAATAGGCTAGCATCTTAGAGAGAGAGCGCACTTCACATGAATATTTTTTATATTTTAGGTAGAAATGAAAAATTTATGTTCACAATTTTGCATTTTTTGACTCTTCTACTGCATTTAATTCAAATAATCCCTTCATGCATGGCAAATACGATTATGAACAGAATAATATGCATTTTGGGAATTCAAGAGTAAATCAAAGATAAATCATAATTAAAAAATAAATCATTATTAGACCTGCAAAGGCCAACACAATGATGATTAACAGTACAAGTAATCATATCTTATACAACTTAATCAGATAGCAACCAGATTTGGAGACAATTAAACACTATTGAAAGCTAAAAGAGAATTAGTAAAAATAAAAAGAAAAGATGTTAAATCAAAAACCGGAGTCTGTCAACCCACACAATTAATTTATGAAAACTAACCTCCAATCGCAGACCTCCACCCCTTCGCATGAGGCCCAAAACATTACGCAGCTGCATAACAAAAGGGCAAAGAAAATGTCAACTGCAAGAGAAAAATCATTCAGAGATGCAAGTTAGACATTGCAATTGTCAAGGTATAAGGAACAGACAGCTCCAAAAATGTTCTATACAAGCAGTAAGAGGACTCGAGAGCTTGAAGATTAATGATATATTTTTTTCCACCACTGCTAGGTTTCAGACCTGCTTTGCTCACCAAAAATCATTACTACTACCAGTTGTTATCTTCAGAGGTCTACATCATCCCCATCCTGGAGTTTCCCAAAAACTCACACCCTAAGATAACTCTTGACAGCATTCACAGAGTAAGCTGAATGCATTGAATTTGACAAATACAGAATTACAGATTTTCACAAGGTCAGGTTCCTCTTAAAAATTTTTGAAAAAAAGAATTGATTTTTTTTATGTTAAAAACAGCAAATCACCCGAGTGCCTATCAAAGCTAAAAACCTTTCCCTGCAGTAATACATAAGAAATCATTGAAAACATGAACATAAGAAAGAGAAGAGTTGAAAACATACATCAGATACAAGTCTACTACTACTTCCTTCACCAGCAGCAGCCAAACTTCGCAAAGAATAAGGAATTCCAAATTCTGCATCACCTTGCCTCTCCATCCACATAGATCTCGGATGTGATTGATGAAGTCCTTGGCCACCAGCCCCAGATGTTGGCACCCTTGCTTCAGATGATGCAGAAGGACCAGAACGCAGAGAAGAAAAATTATTGCTTAGATTTTGACTTCCAGCAGCCTCAGAAGGAGGAGAAAACAATGATCGACGAACATATTCGGATAATCTACGTGGATACTGTGGAGGATTAGGACGAGAAACCCATGTTGAGGCAGATGACTGGTTGATAGCTGAATTTGATCCTGCCCGTGAAGAAGAAGCAACATTTCCTGACATGCTTAAATTTGCACTACCTGAAGCTCTAATTGTTGGATTTCGAACAAGATTTCTTAAATCAGTGGCTGGTACAAATACTGGACGATCAAAAATGTTTCTAGAAATACTTCTTGAGCTAGATTCTTCCCGTGGCTGGTTATCCCTATCTGCACAAAGGATTGGGCTTGATGATTGGCTGTTTCTTGAGCTAGAACTACCATTCCATCTTAATGATTGCATATTCCTTGGTAAAGCAGGAACATGGATCACAAGGGGCTGGCTTTGTGGAGTTACGTTATCTACCATTGGTGCTGCCCTCAAGTCCAGGGAGTTATCAACAGGCCGAAACCTTTGTGACATTGAAGAGGTTGACATACTAGAATGCCTAATCACACTCCCAGTAGAGACTGCAGGGGGAGGAATTGAATCTTGTTGGCTTGAAGGACTTATCCTCAAACGGAGATTCCTGCAGAAGCCCTCTGTGCCCCCTTCATCATTTGAATCTGGAAGGTTTTCAGGGGCTTCATCCCCCATTCCCAGCCCAAGTCTAGCAATTGCCTGCTCAGATGAAGCAGATCTACTTAAACTGCTCCCAGCATTATCCTGAGTTGGAAGAGTGTTCCATGAACTGCTTTCTGTATGCTGACTAGAACTAGAACTTCCACTGTCAAAAGATGGTCCAACATTTTCTTCAATGGCCTTTCTTTTACAAGAAGCACGGCGCACATCTAGAGAACAGCCTGACCTAACATCAGTGCCTTCTAGCACGAAGCTGTTATTTCCAGGAGGAGGAGGAAAAGGACCGGTAACAATGCTAGGTGGAACACGCTCATTTACTGATCCACTAGATTTGTGCAAGTTAGGATGCTCCAAACACTGGCTATTATCACCACCACCATCTGACAAGCCAGCATTTAAATTGAGATTTGACACGTGAGAATTGGAGCTATGCATATACATAGGACTGGAATTGACATTGTCAGCCGAAAGAATAATGGTTGGTTCAAAGTGCCTTCCTTCTGCACTTGGACCAGCTACAGGACCAGCACTAATTGGAGATGTCCATTCAAGTTCTCTTTTCTGCTGGTTATTGTTGGTTTCACTCTGGGTATTGCTAGAACTTGGCTCACCTAAGCTCCATCCACTTGAATTCTGCCATTCATGGTTTATCGAATTCATATATGGCGGGTCCATATCACTCAAAGGAAGTAAATACTCAGGTATATCACTATCATTATCAGCAGGATTCCGCATATTATTCCAGCAAATTTGCTGATCCACAGTAGGATTACTAGATGTGGATCCACAGTTGAATTCTAAGGTTTCAGGCAAGGAACCAATTGCACCCCTCTGACCTTGCATTGGGGCAGCAATAAAAGATACACTAAACGATGAGGGTGAATATGTATTGATAACCTCAACAATGAAGCACGCGGTACATCAAGTTTAGAAAATCTGTACAACAAAAACAAAAGAGTGATAATCAGGCATTGAAAATAGACAAATCTTAATCAATTCACTATCACTAACAAGAATTTATAAGTCGCAAGCAAAATAATCAATGTCTACTCAAACAATTTGGGATGCAATTTTAACCCATGAAAGCATTCACAACCACAACTACCAATATCTCCTGAAGTGCTTAACTGTGGTGTACTCACTTGGTGAAGCACTACATATTGGTTTGTTACTCTATGCCAAAAGCACTTAAATTTCACAGGAAAAAGACCATCCAAGAGGGCAAGCAAAATACTTACAATGCTTTGTATTATGATTTAGATTAATTATACAAATTGATAATGAATTAACTGATGCATTCTATCACATTGAACTCGGAGAAACCGAAAAAAGAAAGAAAGCAATTTTGCATCTTTCTCCACATCAGAAAGCAACAATTATTTAATGTTTCAAAATCATCATTATATACAGAAATCCTTCACAATCCCATATTTTTGTTGACCTTGTATTGCAGTGGCAACATTAAATAAGCAGAGAAATGAATACAACAAGCGCAATCAGCTCAGACCCATGATGTGAAAAATAAAAGGCTTTTATCAGTGTTATCTATCGGTTGAAAAGATGCAGCAACGGTAAAAATGTCTGAGCAGTCTAGAGGTAGAGTACTCCTTGACAAAAGATGTTATCTGCATCCGCTTCAGTAAATTGTCAAAAATCAACCACTGTCCAGGCTCATCTGTATAATGTAGCTTATGTATAGTCACAATGCCAAGATTGTACATAATGCCACAAAGTGATAAAATAGATGCCGCTCAATACACCAAAGCCACGTCCGTCAATAAAGTCAACAAATAAGAACCAAGGATAGTGGGAAGCATGCTTACTTATTAACCCCAGGAAGGAGAATGCATACGCATTACCAGACATCACATCTACCACCACTGAAAACTCTTCCATCACTTAAGATTCAAGTAACATAGATGCTTAGCAGGTAAAATGAATTCCACAAATGCACCATAACCCATTGATAAAAGTCGCAGAAAATAACTCACCCAAAGAAGAAAAAGACCATATGGTTAGCACACATTAAAGTCAACTCATTTTGCAGGATAAGATGAGCCAAGCGGAATAAGAACTACAGTCTCCGTAAGATCAGCTCGATCATTGACAGCACAAAATTGGATACAAAACCTTCAAGACTAGCTTGAATTAGACGTTTCCAGCTATGAACAAGTGAACAGAAGACCCAACAAAAACCAGCAGAATTCAACACACAAAGCGGTTCAAGATTATGAGCAAAAATTAAAATAGCAACAAGGAAAGCCCCAAATCATCACAGAAGATCAATACAAGGATGAAATCCGAAAAATTAAAAAAAAATAAAATATTTATAAAATAAAAAGGGGAATAAAACTTGATATTCATTGATTCCGCAAAATCGCCGATTGATCAGACCCAAGATAATGAAAAACAAAGAAAAGAGAGGGGAGGAACTCACCAGACGAAAGCATTAAGAAAAGGACGATCTACCGCAAAATCAGAGGACGACGTGCGAGAGAAAGAAGGAAAAGAAGGGAAGCGCCCATGGCGGCGGCCGGCGGCTTGGATTGGATTGGACGAGCGTTCCCTCCTCCCTCCTTCCAGGGCAAACAAAGAGGGCAGAACACGGAGTCAGAAATGGGAAGGGACAAGGAGAGAGAGCCTCGGATGGTGTGGTGGAGGATTGAAGTGAGATAGAGAGCAATGGGAGAAAAAATGAAAAGGGAGAGATTAAAGAGGACAGTAATCTTTTGAATTTACAAAATGACCCTACAGAGAGAGACGGACAGTAATTTACAACTAAGACGTGAATAATTATAAAGATTTTGAAAAAGGGAAAAATAAAATCTGGATTAATATGGTAGGGTAATGAGTGACAAGGAAAGGAAGCCAAAGCCCGTTTCCAAAAGCTCACCTCTTTTCCCTTTTGTTTTCCCCCAGCATGCATCTCCCCCTCGCAAAATGAACCAATTCAAAACCGTAACAACAACAATAAATGAATGAGTCAATGAGGGCGGAAGAGTGAGATTAATAGATTGATTATCATTATCAGTAGAGTGCAAGACTCGGCTTCCAATGCGCGCCGAACACAGCCCCTCTGGTGTGTGCGTCGCTCCTCGTTTCAATCTCTATCACGCCAAGCACCACCCTCCCTCCCTTCCCTACCTTCCCCTTTACCATCCCATCCGCACGCTCGCTCACGTTCACATGCCATGCCTCCTTCATTTTCCTCCCTTGTGATTTGGGCCCCATTTGATTTGTATGTCATAACAATGAGCAAAAGCAAATTCCATGATTTTACACGTGGCTCTATTTTTAATCGCGGCGGACCCACACCTTCATGACTTGCATTTTTCTTTTTTTCCCCCATTTTCTACCCAAAATCTTGGCGCTTCCTTGGACATTGATGTTGATTTTTGACTGCCCATCGCCGCTGGACTTTTTTATTTCTCCTCTTGAATTATGCAGCCTCGGTTTAATAAAATGACCATAAAAGAAGAAGAAGAAAGAAACATGGTGTACAAGGTCGCTCAATTTCGCTGTCCCGTGTGTACAATTTTAGGTGTAACTTAACCAAATAGTAACGTATGGCTAGCAGGGATGATGAGAGGCAAGTTGCAGTGTTTCGGGCTCTTAACCTGCTGAAACCACAACCAATTTTATGTATGATTTTACTTTGCTTTAAAGAGGCGTGAAATGAGTGCTGAATAAATACACGGACCTAAAATTCTCCAGTACTTTGGCAGGCTCCGCCCCACCCTTCGCCTTTCTTTCTTTTAATTTTTTCCCAGTCTATATTCCTTTTTTTTTTCCTTTTATTTCATATATACAACGCAACAATTGGCCTAGAGTGCTGTCAATAGGAACTAGTCAGCTTCTTAAAAGTCCACATATCTTAAATGCCACGTGTTCGAATATCATGTAGGTTATTGGTTGCCTTACATGTCGCGTGTTCGAATAAATATGAAGAGGAGAGGAGGGTAAAGAAGGCTCTTTCCTTCTTTTTTTTTTTTAACGTCTCTAGATTGGATTAGGATGTTGTTTTAGACATTGTGATGTTGGGTGAATTTTGGCCATTTTATTGTCTTTCTTTCCCACTCACCTTGTGTTTCCCAACCCACTCAAATCAGATGGGGCTGTTTTAAAAATAATTGCCATGTGAGTGACTAAATGAATATTTTATTGGGTTGAGGCCACGCTAGGGAGTTGTGGGTTCCCTCATTCGGCTCGCTTGCATGACTACTTGCAAAAGCAGACCGCATGGCCATCGAAGTCCCAAAGATTCCAATACACAATATCATTAGAATAATGAAACTCCCTCCAAAGCCAACATCACAAGTCACCCACGCTGTTCCCAGCGGTTCACTCCCTTGTTTCTCTATTTTCTTTATTAATATTGTTTTCACTGTTTTTTCATTGACGTTACTTTTTTACGTTTTCTGACAACCTGCACATTATACATAACTAGTTGTTACCCGCTGCCGGAAGAATCAGAATTACTAGAGCTGAAGTTGGAGAACCAGGCTTATAAGTTTTATTTAAATAAGAATTTAAACTTTAGAAATTATTTTTTTTTAAAAGAATTGGGCTCGAGGGCCTGGCCCTAATAAGTCCTGTAAAAAAGGGCTAAAGCCCGGACGGCTCTCCAAGTCTTGATAAGTCTGATTATTTTATATATATATGCACATACATACATATATTTGATGATAATAACACAATTTAGTTAATATTTATTGTAGATGATCAAGAAGAAGTTATAAAGTTAATTAACATTGAATTTTTACCTTAATCTTCAACAATTACACTTATATCTAGAATTAAAAAAACAAGTTGAGCCTGTAAACTAGCCTATTTAGTGCATGTTTGGATTACTTGTTAACTGAGGTTAGAAGGACTCCAACTTCAGTTGAAATGAAAAAAGCTGATTAAAACATGTTTGGATAAAAAAATTTTTGAACTGAGCGTTGCTGCAGAACGAGCGTTAATTGCGAAGCCAGACAGGGAAGCTTTTTTGACGCACGTTATGAACATTGGCTAGACATTTATTGTCAAATTCCTCTCTTTGGTCCATATTCTCTCACCTTGCCCTCGCATTCTTCACGCTAGCTGGGAGACGATAAATGCACGATGGTGGGAGAGGGAGATGATGCTGGTGGTGGGGAGAGGGAGAATCAGATGGAGGGAAGTAGTGTAGAAGGGAGATGAAGTTGAAAGGTTTTGTGGAGACTCTGCAGGATAAGGAAGAAACAAAGGGCTTGGAGAAAAAGAGGAGGAAAAGGTGGAGGAAGAAGGTGCTCACTGTGTGTGTTTTCAGGTGTGTATGCGCGGTGCTCGGTGTTGAGGAGGAAGAAGATGATTTTGCTGTGTTTCATTATTTAATATTTAATATTTAATATTTAATTATAATTTATAAATTAATACAAAGTAAAGGAAGAAGAACAATTAAAATATTATTTCATTATTTAATTAAAATACACTCCACTTAATATAACTTTATTTGTGAAACATTAAATAAAGGGAGAAAATATAATAAGATTAGAATGAAATAATTTTGCATACTAAAATTAAATTGTAGATAATGTGAATTGAATATTTTATAATTTATGAATTTATTTTAGCTTCTTTGAATATTTCAAATTTTATTATTTAATCCTACCTTTTTAAAAATTAAGATATTTGACTAATTAATGTATTTTATATTTGTAATCTAATTTTTTTAAAAATTGTAATTTTAAAATTAATAATTTTTTCTTAAAAATATCAAACTAGTCAAAAATATATATATAACAAAACTCATGTCTATTTTGGTCATTATTCATCTCAACTGGCTTTTGAATCAAATCATCCAAACAAATTTTAATTTATCCAACTAACTTTTGAAAAAAAGATATCAAACGTAAATCACGTTACTTTTTTTCTAACCTCAGTTTGCTAACCTTAGTTGATTTCCAACCTCAGTTATAAATTTTTTAATCCAAACACACCCTTAACCTGCACAATTTGACAAATTAGGTTGAAGAAATTGACCCGTTTTTCAAAACGAGCTTGGTTAGCCCAACCCGCAAAATCACTGGATTAAAACGAGCTAGCCCGCTGGCTAAACAGGCTAGCCCATGGGCTAACATATTTTTAAAAAATAATTTTTTATTTTTTAATTACGTTATATCTATTTATAAATTTACAATAATGATAATATTTCTTAAATATATAATTTATGACTCTTAAATATATTCTTTACATTTAAAATATAGTGCAAATCTTTTTTACAATTTATAAATAAAATATTTGTTATAGTTTGTGAAGATGATTTATTAATTTTTATATAAATATTTTAAATATATATTATTTATTAATCTCATAAGATCTATTGATTGAAATTATAAATATAAATTCAATGAAAAAAATAATATGAGTTTATATTAAATTTTTTTTTTTAATGACAAAGATAGCATACCTAGACGAGAAGATGATTAATAGTAAAAATCTAACAAAATGAATTTATTTAGTTGAATTTTATGTTTATTTTATTTATTTACAGTTTTTTAATTACTAATTTACTTTAAAATATGAAATATATATATTATATTATATAAATTTTAAATTATTAAAAAAATTTGATAATTTTTTGCGGGCCAACTCAGGGGTTGACCAGCCTGCTAGAAAATGAGTTAGGTTGAATTTTCTAACCCATTTTATCTGGCAGGCTGGCTCAACCCAACTCGCAAAAATGCCAGTCAGTGCAAGATGGCTCGTAACCCGTTTGTCCAATGTTACTTACATATGAGGGATTTAATATTTTATTTGTAAATGATAAGGATGAGAAGGATTTGAGTTTTGATTGATGAATGTGTATTGTTTAGATTTTTAAATATATTGTTAATTTTTAAAATATTGTGTGGATTTTATTTTTTTAATTTTAAAATATTTTAATTAATTTATAATGTTTAATTTATTTATTTTTTGAACAAGGCTTTCGGGCCCGACACTGAACTCTTTATATAAGGGTCGGGCTTTTAAAAAAAATTAAAAATAAATAACTGAATTCAAAGACTTAAATTTTTAAGGGCTAAACTCGCGTGTATTTTCAGCTATAAAAATCACCAATCAATAATATACTCTTCCAATACAAACCCCTCAAAGTCAAATGTGTGTGTGCATTTATACAGAGGCGCACAAATGCACATTTACATCCGCAGTAGAGCGGAAATTGACTAGCATTGTCAGATGCGGTAAAATTAAACGCACATCTGCTCCGGGACAAGTCTATATATTAAAATTATTAAAGGAAAAGTCACGTCTCTCCTAGATACGTTATTTTTGATATCTTATACCATGTATTTTAAGAAACGTAATATGTGTGTAGATTTAATTGACTTGTGTGATTTATTTGCCGAGTATGTATTTAAAATTAAATGATTTTAAATTATTCAGGCTAAATATGAAATCTCTAGATAATGTAAACATGTCTCGTATAGCAATTGAATTCCACTTGGAAGGAAAATAGTGGGGGTGGAATGATTTGCAAAGTAAATGTGAAACGGTGAAGGCAAAGATTAGATAGCAGTTAATTAATTAATTAATCCATTGAAAGTGGGGGAGTGATGAGTGATTTACAGCAAAAAGGGCAATGAATGAAGAAAAAACAAGTGGGTCAGTTGCACATTAGCGTATGGAAGGAAGGGCGAGGCATTGTCAAATAAGCTGTACATGTTGCCATCATTATGCCCATCTCACCCCCTCCTCCTTTCTTTTTCTTTCTCTTTCCCTCGCATATAGCTTCACGTATCTACAAAAAAATTAATTCGCCTGCATTGTTTCTCTCAGGCTCAGACACACACACACACACACACACACACACACCTGTACCCATCGTCAACCACGGTGTGGGCATGTCACAACTCGCTTTAATTTGGTAATAGGGTGGAATTGAAATTTCACCCACCCAACGCCCAATTATTTTGATTTCATCCAGGCTGCA